ATAAAACATTCAAGAATAATATCACCTTAATTAAGTAACAAAATTGAAATGTTTTATTGTAACACTTTAAAACTAATTTTCTTAAATAAAAAAAAAGATTATTAAAAACTAGGTTAGGATAATTATGAAAGTGAATTGTGAACTTTGGTAAAATAACCTACAGAATACAAAGTATTTAGAAAGAGCATGAATAAAATGATAAATAAGTCGGAAGTTAAAAGTTAACCAAAATAATGACAATGTAACCAAACAAATTTGCACTGATAGTATTACAAGAATATTAATCTTCATATATATGTTTGGGCAAACTAAAGTTACCATGAAAAGTGACTGAACAATTTATGTTAGTTTCCTTAATTATAAGATAATTTGTCTAATAAGGTTACTCCGACCGCAAATTATAATATGGAGTAAAAAAACCTACCTCAGATTAATAACATAAGGTGCTGTTCTTTAATTTAATTTCTACTATGAAGACAGTATATATGGAGATTATGGTCACTCAAGGAACTTGTATTGGACCTATGGGTCAGAAGTTTGAAACATATCGATGTAAAGAAAGAAATCAGAAAGGCGATGGAGAACAACGGAAGCTACTTTTAAGATATCTAGACTAAATAATGTTCTAGCATTTATCAGTATAGGGTTGAGGAGATAAGGTTTTTGATTGAGATCATGAACCGATTGATGTTAGACCACTATAGGAAACCTGGAAGAACTGGACGACCGTCTCGTCCTAGTATGGGGCTCCTCAGCAGTGTGAGAGGGATCGTGGATGTTTAATTCTATGAATCATAAGCTTTTATTCAATGCACAAGTCACTGCCGTGCCACTTTTTATTCCGAAATTACTGTAATTTAAATGTGACTTTATATCCCATTTTCCTATAATAATGCACTAAATTGAACATAATTGTATTTTTTCTAAATCCTTGGGTGATGTAATTATTTCAGTTATATATGCCTTTTTAAATAAAAATAATATATTTGTAATATCCCAATGAGTAGAAAATTGGATTTTTCTGACGTTTCGTGGCTTAGTGTAAGTCACTTCTTCAGAGAATAAATAACCAAATTAAATTAATCCAAGTTTAAATAGTACAACGGAACAATGCAAGAATAATATTTGATCAATCAAAAACAGGTCTGAACAAGTTGATGTCATGTCATTTCTGTCAAGGTGATTCATAAGTGATAAGTATGTAAATTTGTGTGTGTATGTATGTGTGCATTGTTTAAGAATGAACACCTGTGTGACCTATATGTTAAGAAAGGATAGAGTTTAAATTTGTAATATGAAAGTGTGAAATTGTAAATACGATCAGACTGAATGGTTAGGATAGATGGTCCAAGTAGGATGTATGGTAAGGCCTTCTTTTCTATTGAGAGAAGTAGGATTAAGCATTATATGGAACGCCTTGGCTACCCTCCTTTCTTTGTAGTTGGAAAAGCCTTTTTGCAATATTTTGATATTTTTAAAATCGATTTGGTGGTTGTTGAAAATGGCATGAACTGCTATTGCCGATTTAATTTGAAGTTGGTTCAATTCTACCGGATTGTTAGGAGGTTTCTTTGTGTACCTAATATGTTCTTTGGCTCTAGTCACGATTTCGCGAGATGACTCTCCAATGTAATAGGCATCACAATCAATACAACCTAATTTGTAGACGCAGTTCTGTGTGGACATGAAAGGGATTTTGTCTTTCAGGCGAACTAAAGTATTACATAGTGTGTCCGTTGTTTTGTAATAAACTTTGATTCTGTGATGTTTTAAGATTCTTTGGATTTCTTCTGTTGTGCCATGATGGTATGGTAGAACTACAGTACCAATCCATGGCATTTCATTCGAATCATTATTATAATGTAATAACATTTCAAAAGAAGAATTGAAGGCTCTGCATTCACTTAAAAAAGACAAAACGATTATCATCACAAAAGCCGACAAAGGCAACACAGCAGTAATCATGAATAAAACAGATTATATTATTAAAGCTCTTGAACATCTTTCAACAGGACCTTATGAAAAGATCAATCCAAAAACTTCTCTAACGATTAAGAATAAAGTCAAATTAGAAACAAATCAACTTCTGAACGAGCTAAAACCAATCATTGGGGTCTCGCTTTGGTTTGCTTTGCATCCCAAAGCATGTAATGTCTCACGGTTTTATGGCTAACCAAGAATTCATAAACCAGATATTCCTTTAAGACCAGTAGTAGACTTCACAAACACCCCAACATATGCACTATCGAAATATTTAAGCAATATATTAAAACCATTACAACTCAACTTACATAATATAATTAAAGACACATATGACTTTAAATCAAAATTATCCGGATTAATCATCGAGAAGAATGAAATCATGGTAAGCTTTGATGTCGTTTCTTTATACACAAGTGTTCCCATTGATAAATGCTTAGAATTCATTAGTGATTTACTTGAGAACAGCAATACTCTTCCTGACAGATGTCCGTTGAGCATCAGTCTAATCATGAAATCCTTAAAACTTTGCTTAAATTCAACGCTATTTACATTTAGCGGTATGTTATTCAAACAAACTAACGGTGTAGCGATGGGATCCTCGTGTCCCCGATTGTAGCCAACCTTTTTATGGCATACATAGAATCAAATATCTTCGCCCACAACATTATACCACGAATTTGGCTAAGATATGTAGACGATACATTTGTTGTTATAAAAAAGACTCATCTAAGATCTCTTTCAAAACGAATAAATACACTTTCATCGCACATCAAATTCACGAATGAAAATGAAAATGTACATGGTGAGCTACTATTCTTGGATTGCTTAGTAAAAAGAAATCCAAATGGAAGTCTAAACCTATCCATTTAACGAAAACCGACACATTCAAATCGTTATATTGACTTCCATTCAGCACATCCTTTCAGTGCTAAGATCTCGCTAGCCTTAAATGTTTTTAGAAGAGCTAACAAGATCATCACATCAGAGGAAGACAAACAAAAAGAACAAATGAATATAATTAGCATCTTACAATTGAATAATTTTCCTATGAATATTATTAGAAGCATATTAAAACAAAACAGTTTATTACATTATAATAATGATTCGAATGAAATGCCTTGGATTGGCACTGTAGTCCTACCATAGTAGAGAATGTTATTGCTACAACTCCTAAACATATTTCTTGGAACTAAAATAAATGGACGAGCTGTTAAAAATGCACAGGCTTCATAAGTTAATTTTTCCTGCTTAGGTCAGTTGTAATGAACAAAGATCCAGGTGGGGATGACCAAATGCATTTTAATACAAAATTACAGAAAGTCTTGGCAAATTACGAAAACCATAAATGAAATGCTTCATTTGCAAATTTCCAACGTTTGTCCTTCATGTTTTGTATGATTCTTCTGATTCACCATTCCTTTATGATTCCGCATCCATTTTCTTCAAGTCAACCTTCATAGCCTTCTATTGCCATGTTTTCCACTTCCAATTGGCGTTACATACTACTTATATCTATCGACATAAGTAGCACATACCACACGGTCAATGGTACATAGCGATTCCTTTATTTTGAATTTATTGAAAACACTTAACAAATAAGTAAAAATCTAGAAAATATTAGATCTTAGCTAACGGTGTAGTGAACAAGAACACCAGTGGGGACAATCGAATTTACTTAACACACAATTACAGGACTTGTTAATAAAATCTAACAATCACAAAGTAAATGCTTAATTTGCAAAATGTTAACCAGTTGTCTCAAAATGACTCAGAATTCATTGTTCTTACATTTTTATACAAATTGCATCCTGTTTCCATTCTTTATTGTTCGATCCTCTTGTCTCTCTGCTGTCAGACCTTCTGTTCACGACTAACATCATATATTACTTATGACAATATAAGTAGCACACACCACAACGGTATCTTTGACAACTCGGTTAGCAGGACGTTCCCGATTCCCTTAAAAAAACTGATGAAACTCGATTTTCTTCAGTCATATTTGCTACAACTGATATTCCTAATCATTGTGTGAATAGGTATGTTATAGCAACAGGAGTTAATGTTATCTCGTCATCTCGTTAATGCGTGTTATCGGTGAAAGCAAAAAACGTTGGTCTACAGATGAAATAATTACATTCGGGATAAAGATTTATAGATTGGATTTAAGATGAATGCATATCTTTAGTGATATCGATTAAAGCCTTAATCTACAATGCCATTCTGACATGAAACCACTTCAAGCCTTAGTTCTCGGTAAATTTATCATCAAATCTCAATCTTCGAACAGATAAACGCACACTTTCTTACAGTGGATTCCAAATGAGTATCAATGCAGTCAGCAAATGAAACATTCATAGTTAACAAACCACAATAATGAGACAGTATAACGTTTTTTGGATCCAAAGAATAATGACTGACAGTCCTCTGCATAAAAGACTACATAATTAAATTCTGACGGAACTTAGTGACCGGTTTAAGTAATTAGCAATGAACTACAACTACTGTGGAGGCTAATGAAACAATTTGGATGTTTAAGTAGGAATAAACATAACATGAGGCATAAAATGATGAAAATTAAACGCTTATACACCAAGAGCTGCAATAGATCACTAATTTTTATTGATGATTAATACAAAATGATTTCAGTAGACGTTTTAGTGAACATATCCATGAGAAAACCGCACCTAAATATAACTGAAGTGGATTAATTAAAATTATCCATGCACAAAAACTTACAATGAAAACAACAATCCGGCAAGCATGAAACATGAAAGAAAAAGGAAACTGGTTTTATACAAGTTCAAGTCTCTTTTATACAAATCACGTGTTTCCCTTAAATAAACATAGCTGAAATACGCTAATACTTTAAAACATTTACAAAGAATATAGTTATAAACTCAACATTAACAATAGAATATACGTAGACATTCATTTAGATTTGATTACAATCAAATTGAAGAGAGACAGTGTGAATAAAATAATGATAATAATAGACATAACTGTATTTTATACAACAAGGTAGATAAATAAAACTATATATAATGAATTGGTTGGTCATTTAATAAGCCTAGTTAATAACAGATGAACAATAATCTGATAGAAAAATGCGGTAATAAATATGGCGCCCTTTATAAGGAAACTTCATGTAACATGTACCATAATTGGAGTGTTGAAGTTTAAAATAGCGCTGATAAGATACATGTACATCTACATATTCATCTTAATTTCAAGTGTACGCCGTCTAATCAAAACGAATGATGTCGATAACAGAGTAAAGAAGTATTTAAAAGTAAAAAAACTATAGTTTTTGATTTATCCATGCTTTTTTTACTAAACTTCGTCAGTTGACATAATGTCACAGCAGTGGGCAGTAGAAAATAGAAAGATTAACTGTATATATACGATAGATAAATAATCCTGTTACAGTTTATTTATTAAGTAGTCTACATAAAAATAAAAATCATTTACAGAAAAACCAACATGGAAAAGAAAATGCAAATGTAATCTGTGTAAATTCTGTTATACATTAAAAAGAGAAGGCAATAAGCGCAATGAGTTATTATTGTCTACAAAAATGAATAATATTTACAAATCAATCTTTTGCTTAAGACAAAAAGGTAGAAAGAAAGTAAATTATTGAAAAATGTGTACATTCAATTAACAGAGAAAGAAGAATTCATCAGAAATAATGAAACGGTTATCTTCTTTTTTATCAGGAAAATCTAAAAAGAAAATGCAGTTACACTAATAAAACTATTAGTTAATAATAATACATTCATAGAAAACCTACAATAATATTGACGATTAATTCTTAAGTTAATAATAGGAAATGAAATGAATGTGGCTTTTATTTACCTTACATACTCTATAAGTTTATGCACACTCAATTGATGAGATGACATCAGGTATATACCTTGATGAATTTCAAGAATGTTAATAAAACCAAGTACATAATTGTGTAAGAAGGTTTGAATCTGATTTATTAAACGAAGGTTAGAGATATTATTCGACGTTATAAACTGAGGTAGATACATTGGGGTTCATACTAAACATATAGACCTAAATCATAGTTGTAGACTGATTAAATTTTACCAGTCTTATTCATAGGCGATGCATCGAACTATAAATACAAATGGCAGTAGCCCGTTTTCCTCAGATCTGTCAAAATGAAGACATCATTGGGAGATTAGGAGTCAGTAAATGTGGATGATAATAATGAATAAAGGATCGTGAAGTTGAAAATGGATTTATGAATAAGAAAAGCAAATAATTTACCAATATATTTTCTTTTAATAACTGAAATAAATGAGACACGTTATGCACGCTAAGACCGTAGCAATAATTTTCATTAGAGCTTGAAGTATGTTTTAAACGGAGATAACAATTTGACTCACAGAACAAATGGCTGTTAATCTCAAATATCTAGAAAAATGCAAAAGATATTTATTGGGATATCCCAGTATCTGGGGGTCTTAGAATACTAACGAAACCGTACAGCAGTATTCATTTTTTATGAAACATAATAAATCTCGAATCCCATTCTTTATGTACATTTAAAAATTCTAATAATTTTCTGCTGTATTGTTAAGAAGTACAGAAGCTTGCCTTAATCCATCACTGTCCCAGCTTTGAAACTTTTCAGTCTATATATATATATATATATAGTGTCCAGATGTTCATCTAAGAATTATACAAAGGAAATAATATCTTATTTACATATTCCAGAAAACACGGTCAACATTTTCAAAAACTAATTTTGAATACTGTTACAATGCTTTGCCACGACAGTCTAAATCTAATTATAATACATTTATATAACTAAATAGAATACCTAATTAATTTCCGTTAAGTAATGGGTTGAAGTTAATCCATCAGAAAACTTACATAGCTTGTACTGTAACATGGTGGGAATAACCATTTGTAAACCTAATTATATTTTATATATTTATAATTTAAATGAAAGCATTATAAACTTATGCAACACAACTAAAATTAAATGAATGTACAATTTTTTAAAATAAAACATATTATTCACATGAAATTTACCGAATTTAAAGCAACGTCAATGAAATCCTCTACGTGAGTCAACTGAGTTACCACAATATGTTGAATTAGTTATATCAGAAGACCTCATTTGTGAATTATGATGAAGTGTATCTCTTGGCAAAGAATTATTCTACATGAATAATAATAAAAAATTATTGTACAAATATATTGTATGTTACTAATGTATGAGCATGAATACATACTACTACTGATAAATTAAATTATATCCTTTATAACAAAACAATTAAATACAGACATCTAAATAAAAAAATATTCAAGAGATATCTCTGATAAATAATTCTGTTCTAAAGTAAAATATTTTAAGTGAAAAAAAGTTAGAATAACTGATAAAACCTTTAGTTAACTTAAAATGTCTATATACTACAAATAGAGTAACAAAAACAACCACCGTAATGTACTATTCGAAAAAAATTGAGTAAATTTCTTTCTAGAATAAACAGTTAAATTTTTTTAAAAAAAGGTAGAACTTACTATTACATTTCTGTGGTGAGTTTCGTAAGGACTACGAATATGAGATGATGGTTGTCTATTATATGGATAAATTGTTCCAGAATCGGATGTAGGATAACTAACATGTCTTGAGGATGGATAATAGCAGTATGTTCGATTAGTATTACTATTATTACTGCCAGATTCATTAGGATTATAATATGTATATCGACTACTTGTATTTGTTGTATGTTGATTGGGATAAAAATGATCGGAAGATTGACCTGAATGGAATGTTGACGACGTAAGTCTGTTGCTATGATATCCATCAGATGGCATCTGTCGAGTTATATTGGAATGATATGTATACGAATTTGAGCCAGATGGACTAGTTGTACACCGTCTAGAATTATTATAACCATTATTATTATTATTATTAGAATAGGATCCCTGAGATTGCGTTGAGGACGATCCATAATGTTGACTATGTGGAATTTCAATCCGAGGTACTTTTGCTATTGGAAAAGAATACTGACCGGATTCATTTGAAACAGATGTAGTGTGAACGGTTGGACTGTAACGTAACCCATGATTATTACTTACAGATTGAGTCCCAGATTGATAGAAATTCAACGATGAAAAATTATAATCTGATGAGCTTGGACGTTTACCTCCACATGATGCTGAAGTGACTGGGAAACACAATAGTTAATTATTAGTATAAGGCTAATAAAAAGGCCTATGATGCATGCCGGTATATTTTAGTAAAACCTTTATCAATATGACATCTTTGCAAAGAAATATGACTTGTGAGGTAGAGTGAGGAAAATAATAAATCATTTTGAAGACTAATATGCGTATATATAGCTTTTGTGGTGCTAATGTCGTTATTACGTCTGGAGTCGACGCTGTTATATCTGGTGTGTCATCGCTGTTACGTGCGTATCGCCTCATTTGGGTCCGCAGTCTTACTGCTTTTAGACTAGACAATCGGAAACCATAGCAATTCACATGACGCAAAGTAAGAACACGAAAGCCTGGTGCAATGGAAATTTATCGACTCTCCAAAAACACGTCCACAAACAAGTCATAAAGTCACATCTTCGTTAGACCAAAACGAAAGTTCACCCTCGTCAAATTGAAAGAAGTCCATGCTGAATTTACACCAGAAATATTGACTTTAAAACGTCACTTACTAAGTTCACATCTGTCACCCAGGTGGAAATCGATAGTAAATTGATACGAAAAACTATCGACCGAAATAATGTAATCATTTTATTCCATCACAAAGGTCAATCAACCCAGTCGTTGAGGCGATGATAATAACAAATAAAAGGTAAGCCAATGTACCAAATTTAGACCCAGTTTCTACCATAAGTTAACATGATATTTTTAGAGTAATCAATACTGACAGTCTTTGCTTCGCACGTTGTTTGCAGAGATCATAGCCGAAATAAGTATGAATAAAAAGTGTGATGAAATTATGTTGAAGATTAAAAAAAATAAGAAAGAACAATGTTCCATTTAGTACCTATATAGACACCTAAATAAATGCGGACAATCCCATGATGTTCTCAGGTAAATAACTCAGATTGCAGTGAAAATAATAATATCGTTCTGTTATTCATGACAATATGATCATCTTAGCTGCACATAATCCATTGATGAAATGAAATTAATGTTGATAATTTGGCTATTATATGTTATTTTCAAAAATAAATGATACTTATCAGATGCGTAATGAAAAACATTTCGGTATCTTCCATATGAAACCTACAGACACAGTATCTGGGTTTGCGCAGTCCTTGAGTGAAAAAGTTAATTTACTTCTGTAATAAGTGAATAGATTGGATACGTGGAGTCTATATTTCGACAGTCAGTATAATATCGAATAGACATTTGTCAATTGAAACCCAGTTTTACACGTGATATATAAAAACAAAGCTTACCAATTGAAGGTAAACTAACAGGAACATCTGATTTAGTAGCAGAACAAAGTATGCTAGTAGCCGGTCCTTGTACTAGTTTCTGTTCACTGCTAACAGGAGGATAACGCCTTTGATTTGAAGGGACATTCGTTACAGAAACACTAGGGACTCCAAGATTTTGACTAACACTAACTGATTGTGTAGAATTTGGTTCTGATGAATAAACAAGAGATATGGAACTCGACTGATTAGAACTTTTAGAGTTAGAAGTACTTGATAATGCTGTTGAAGACGGTTTATTACTCGTATTTAATGAGAATGGATGTTGATAATTGTTTTCAGAATAATGTGAAGATTGAGATAAATCACTAGGAGGGAATTGCGGTGATAAAGATGATGATGACGACGATGATGAAGAAGAATACGATGTAACTGTATTTATAGGACGCGAAGAAGAATTATTGTTCTTTGTAGGAACTTGAATGCTACCTAGAAAAAAATCCATTATTTTTAAAGTTTTTTTTCGAAGTAAATGAAAGAATTCAATGGAACATTTCGAGAGAGAAAAATAGTTAAATGAACATCGAAATTATAGGTTACTTATTTTTAAATTTGAAACAGTTTAATAACCGCTTGAGTTGTCTAATGAATTAAAATATAGTCGAATCTTTATAGATTCATTAGAATATTAGACAAATTCGTCGTTGATTATGAAAAAGAAGATTCATTTACAAATCACTTTTTTAGAATTATATTATTAATAATAGAATATTAATTAATTCTATTTATTTAAATATATTAAATTAATGAAAATAATCTAATATAATACGATGACTATTATATTAATATAAGATTAATGAGTAACGAAATTCTCAGTTAATTTTCTCAACAAAAAAATCAATCGAAATATTTCTAATTGACTTTACAAAATCACACATCTATATGATCTATGATGTAATAGGAGATTCTATTGAATAAACTAGACCACCATGGTGGTCTAACTTCAATTGATCCATGATCTCAACTATTGAAATTACTATAATATAGTACTCAATATATCATGTGTTCTTCTATAAACAAAATCTGTAAAACAACTTAAGCTTATGATATGATCATTGTAAATTTATAGAAAGATTAAAAATTCTTAGATGTAAATCCATTGGCTAAAAAATGAATTCAGAAACTAATAAGTAAAACAAAAATTATAAAAACCTAATATAATTGATAATAGAACAAGTTCATATTGATAATATTCAATTATGCAATGTTTTATTGGAGATAGGTTAATGTTTACAAACAACTATTACATTTTATCAGAAGGGGTTTGTGGAGATTTTTAGAAATTTTCACAGATTGAAATCATGAGTCAGTTGAAGCTAGACCACCATTGAAAACCTGGAAGCACTGGACGGCCGTTTCGTCCTAGTATGGGACTCCTCAGCAGTGCGCATCCACTATTACATTTGTAAATATCTTAGGAGTTCATATATGCATGAATAAAATTTACATTAAAATTAGATTAAACTGATATAAACGAACAAATGTAATTAATTTATTGAAGGATATGATAACTCATTTCTAACATACTTTAATGGGTAGCTCCTATAACAATGGACACTTGTAACATCGTTTTACAATTTTTTTGAAAATATCTTTATCGATATTTTGGTCAAAAAATTAAGAACAAACCATTGACTTTATATGACTAACATCAAGATGAAAACTCCTAGTTTTAACATAGTGTCATTCACTGAACCATAGTTGATTTATTTTCATTTACCTGGGTCTTGGTTTTCAATTTATGTTAAATATTTCGAAATATTTTGCCTAAATATATTCACTCTATTCATACAATAATATGCAGTTAAATACAGCGTGGTTCATTGGGTTGAACGGTAACAAAATGAAACTATTATGTATCACTTGAATAGTGCAGAAGTTAATTACAAACTATAAATGAAATATGTAACGAATGTAATAGATAAATACTTAACTGCCTCTATGTGATCAAGTTCAATAGAGGATGGGAAACTTAAGCATTATCAACCACGAGGAACTATTTACAAGTATCCAGAACAAGTAGTTAACCCGTATAATCGTACAGTAAAGAAACATGTAGTTAAAAAAAGAACATAAAAACCACGGAAAAAAAGTACGTTCAAAAACCAGAACTCTTTAAGTTACGGTAAGTGTATGTGAGAAGCAAAAGGGGAATTGAACTTATACGATGTCATTTTCGAAACAGATAGCTGAAAAGCCTTATTTATAATATCAGCGACACGTATATCGATAAAGTAAATGATATCATAAAAATTTCAGCAAATTTTATGAGAATGCCTAAACGAAAAGACTGATGAAATCTAAATATATACATGTCGCCAATCCTAGTATATAATCGAGTTTAATCGCGTTGGTGAATAACGGAATTAAAACAAGAGTGGATTTTGGATACGTATATCTCGTACAATCATTGATCGGAAGTGCAATGGAAAAGGAGAGTGAGCTAAATCAACTTAACCAAGCATTACTCATATTTATAGCAAACAAAAATAGGTTAGACATGTGATGAGTAAGATAAGAAATGCACACATACGCCGCTTGCATAAAAACATTCAGGATTAATAAGCGAATGAGTGACAAGGTCAAAATGTGGTTTAAGACGAATAAATAAATTGGCCTATTCAGAAACTAGAACAACCTATGTGGGCTCGACACAGGGCCAGCCACTACAGATTACACATCTTCCCTAAATATTTCGCAAACTTAGTCCCCTATTTGTTGGTAATCACCAATATCAGTATGTTATTAAATTAAAAGTAGTATTAAAACATGTCCATGACGCAATAATTAATTAAGATTGTTAATCCCGAATATTATTGTTGATCCATGTTATCATAAACAATTAGCGTGATGGCTAAATTGCATACTAGATAAAACAGGAAGATTTTCACTTAATGCGCAACAACAACAACAGCTCAAAGATAGTATCTCAATTACATACACCATAGCTCCTTAAATAGGTACCGGATAATATAATTTATGCACAAAATTATACAGAATAAAAATGTATTGTACTTATACGCTTACTTGCAGTTTCTCGAGCACTTATGCCCTGTTGTTCATTTTCATCATCAGATAATGTTAAGTCAATAGTGAAGGAGGGAATCTGATAGAAATAATCAAGAAAAATAATAATGAAAAGAAGCAGATTATTTTTTTTAATTAACTAAAATAGGGACAAAATAAATTTTTATCACGTACTAATATCGGTTAGAGAACGGTTTCACACCAGAAATTATTGAGAGAGCTAGTTGTTCTGTGACTGTTCAGAAATTCTAATAGTGTGTTGTACTTATAACCTTGTTACAGTTGAATGCATGACATCGAGCACAATATATTACTTATTGTGTTGAATAAGAATCTAATAAATCACTTGCATTTTCCAAATCCCTAATCTTTCAAAGATTCTCTAAATGATATCAATCAGTTGTAAGAAATTACCATAAATCGAACAATTTACACATATACAAAATAAAAGAAGAATATTAATAATTGAAATTATGTTTTTTTTGGGGGGGATAAAAATCAAAAACAGTCATTAAACATTTAAACTAAAGTTAAATTGTGCAGATGATTTGTGAACATGAAATGGAGAAAAATTCTTTATACATAAAAACGATAGCAGTGAAGAAGAGGAAGAAGAAGACAATAACCCCAACATAACTTTGATTTTATTCTAGCCCATAAAAATAAACAATAAAAATATATTAAAAGTTAAATATATTGTAAAATTTATTCAATCTATTTAAAAATAAAAGATAAATTAATGTTCTAAATAAATAATTAATTTAATAAATGTCCAATATTATTTTCTTATATACTAATTCTAGTGAAGGAGAACACAGGTGAGGACAACCGAATCGTATTTAGCACAAAATTACAGAGTTACTTCGTAAAATAGAAAAATCAAACTATAATACTTCATTTGCAAAATGTTCAATAATTGTCTCGAAATTCATTGTTCTTGCATTTCCATACTAATTGTTTTCTATTCCCGCTCTTCCTTTCTTGATCTTCCTCATCTTCTGCTGCCGGACATTACATTCCTGACTCGCGTCATATACTATTTATATCAATATAAGTAGCACGCACCATAATATCACTATTACTAAACACGTCTATTATAATAGTGAACTTTATAAATATAGATTTCAATAGATTATGACTATGAAAATAGATTTGATAATTGAGATGGTGGAGAAGATTTGTAGCTCAGGTGGATGATTTTGGTGGAGTTTTGTTCTCTGAGCTGGATGGTTTGGTCGTGGAGCTTTCATCGTTCTTCTGAACGACATCATCAGCACAAACTTCAGGTAGAAGTAAAGTGTTCGAATTTCTCCATATGTGTTCCACAGCTTGTTCTGTGCACCTCGATGTTGATTAGTTCTTATTGACCTTAAATTTATCAACCAAGACAAAGAAGTGAACATCGAGGTGCACAGAACAAGATGTGGAACACATATGGAGAAAGTCGAACACTTTACTTCTACCTGAAGTTTGTGCTGATGATGTCGTTCAGAAGAACGATGAAAGCTCCACGACCAAACCATCCAGCTCAGAGAACAAAACTCTACCAAGATTTGATAAATGTTATTCACAATGCAAGATAGTAAAAATTACAGATTATGCGTGAAATCTTTCCCATCCACGCCCCATCACTCCTTCAATAAAGTAAACTAATAATAAGTCATAATACATATATAAACAGAGAACAAACCTCTTGGGATATATACTGATTTTGTTCTTTATCTCGTGAAGATTGAACAGTAACCGAGGCCTGATAATTACTATTAATGGTAGTACTAGTAGTAGAAGTAGTTTTTGTTGTATTTGGGGCAGAAATATTGTCCACATCATTCCTTATCAATGGTGTAATTGCTGCAGTTCGTACAGCAAGTGCAGGAGACATTGATAATGTATTAGGATAGGAATTGTTTGGATTAGACAACGAATTTATTGAACTAGCAGGAGACAAAGTATTAAATGATGGTACAAATGAAGAACCAGCTGAATCAGTAGCTGACCTAATTGAATTTGAAGTAATGTGACTTGAAGCATAGGGGCTTTCTTGTAAACTATATAATTGATTATAATCAGTACACGGAGATGGCTCAGATGGATTTCTACTATTACTATTATTAGTATTATTATCATTAGTATTTTCTGATTGATTAGAAGCCATTTCTTCGCCTAGGGCCGACCAAGAACCATCCGAATGAAATATAATTTCTTCTAGATCTTGAGAACGTTTAGAATTCAATATTTCTAAGAATAAACTTTTAGAAAAAGTAAGTAAACAAAATTTTCAGCTTGACAGATTATAAGTATACAAGAAAAAATACATCTTTATAGACTTGAAAAAAAGTTCCATGAAATTGGTGTGCTTTACGAATTCGAACAAAGCCATAACAATAATTAAGGCAGAATAATATAAATTCACTATATTTCATGATTTCTTATCAACCGTTTACATCCATTGATGTGTATTAAAATGTAACATTGAGTTATGATATAATGTGAAACAATTAACGTTACAGACGGGAAGAAAACTAAAATAGCAAAGATTATTAATGATAACTATATATACATATATGCAAGAACAGGCGTGAGGTCATTTGAAAATGAGGGTGTGAGGCAGCAATTAAACGAAGTCCAGAAACAGATAAAATAGGTTGTGTGATAATTAGAGAAGCTTTGGATCACTTAAAAGTATATATAGAAGATTTAGAGCAGTGGGGTGACTAAGTGTCTAGAATTATAAACTGCAGGTTTATGTAATAATTAAACAATATTTAAAGTTTCTCTAAGTTTAGAAAATTGAGTGAATGGAGAAAAAATCGATGAATAAGAGGATGGTTTCAGTGTATATGAAATAAGAATTAGTTTGATGAAGACCGCATAACAAAATAAACACTAATAGTGGTAAGGATAATAAAAAATAATAATTCCACGTGATATTAGCAAACGCTATAAGTTTACTAAAGTAGAGATAAGTTGATTAATGTCATTTTCTGGGCACAAATTAGGTCTGAGTTGTTTCATCGCTACTGCTCCGGCAAACCGGAGAAGCGCTGTGTTTTTATATCTACTGACAATTTTGAAGGATTGGAAAATGTCAATGTTATGCCCAATTTCAATTAAATACCGAGCTACTGTACTAATTGGAGCCGTTACGCCTCTCAGTCTTAAATTATTCGGAACGTGCTTAGAAATGCGAAAGTAGTAAAATATTCTTGTCATTGATCGTCAGACAGCTACAACGTAGGACCAGGCACATATATGCATCGGTCCAAGTTGCCATACCGCGTCAGCACAGCAAGATGAACACCGGATTCATAGGAGTGGTTAAGTCAATGGTGGTAATATATAAAAGAAAGATTGCATATAAGGATATAGTACAGGAAGAAAGAAGTATTTCGTAGAAAGAAAAATGTGAAATAATTATAATCTCATAGTCTAAAGGGAGACAGAGAGTGCATACACCTACGCCATTGTGATCGATTCTGAGCCATGTCACCCACAGTCTCTAACCATTGGTTACGATAGTCACGCGGACCCCAATCAAGTAGTCTGCATCTACTAACATGGCTCAGACTAGAAGTTAGTGACTCCAAGTACTGATGCCACGTTTTAGTTGGGCCGCCCCTAACTTTCTTCCAACCATCCCCAACACTAGTCAGCATTGAGCGTCGTGGTAATCGATGTTCAGGCATACGTAACACGTGTTCCCAACTATCTCAGTCGATGAAGATTCACAACCTCATAAACTGATTTACCACCATTCCCTAATACTCTGCGTCTAACCTCATTATTACTTACCCACTGGTCCCAGCAGACGCCAGTAATATTTCTGAGACCTCTGTGATCAAATACTAGTAACTTACGCGTATCTTCTACCCTTGATGGACACGTTTCACAGCCGTGAAGCAGAACAGAACGAACTGCCGCGCAGTATACTCGTTCTTTTATTGATAGACGGATATCTCGCCTTTTTTATGTAGTTGTTATCAAGATATAATATGCAAAAAAGCACAAAGACCAGGAATGTTGTTTTAAGATTATTATGGCTAGAAGTGTTGTATTAGGATGATAGAGTTAAGCTGGTAGCATCCCGAAAATATATTATTTGTAATTATAGTTTTCTTTCTTAATGTCCATTTCATCTACAAAAGTTTCACCCTGATTGACTGGTTAATACGAAAGTCATTTTACAAATCGCTCAAAACATTCAGTATTGGTCAGTTTTGCCTCAACCTGTTCCTAATATGCTGAAATTATGGGATTTGCATGAACTAATTTTTAGGCTTCCTTGTTCCAATACTTCTGAGTATTTTAGATATACACAGCTTAGCCGAATGCTGTCTTTTATTATGAATAATATTTGTCGACAGTGCATTCGTTCATAAAGAAATAAATCACAAAGTAAGCACCTATTACACCTTTATTATTATTTCCTGCAAGAAACAATACCATCAAGCAATGCTAAAACCGATAGCAAACAATGCAACAACCCAGAGAAACTTTTAGTTTAGTGGTCTCATTTTATTGACAGACTTTGACTAAAACCAAGACAAAGTAGAAATGATCTGGCTAAAAATAAACCAACCGACATACGTTTCATACACAAAACAAGATACTCAAACCACCCTTGTCTGATTTCCACCACTGGTATAGTAAAATCAAATTCTAAAGGATTTTAAAAACTCACCCATCAACTATCAAATCTTCGTAAACAGCTTTACCATCGCATACAGGACAATTCCAAGTTGGTTTACGTTCATTAATTATAAGATAAGTTGTTGCATCATAGCACTGAACATGACGACAATTACGTCCACGTACAGGTACTTCAATACGACATTTAGATAAAGGACAAAGAAGTTGAACAGGAAGTGTATTTGGCATAACTAAATCGTCATCATCATCATCATCGTCATTCTCATTACGGGCTAAAGACTGACTTTGGTTGTTAACACTACCAATATTACCAGTGGTAGCGTTAGGACTAAGTTTTTTTATGATTTCCATCTGAGTGGAAATTAAATAAATATTTGTAAAACAAAATTATTACGGACTAATAATACAGGCAAAATAGGGAAATTTTCCAAAATACCTAGTGCTGACCAATGGAAGATTGTGGTGTCGGGTGACATGTCAAACCCACACACCGTATTCTAGTTTTCGGGCAGGCCAACTTATTCATTCTTATTGAGTCACATTTTGACCATGTCACTAATTCGCTTATCAACCTTGACTGTTTTTATGTAAGCGTATGTGTGCATTTCTTATATTATTCATTACGTATCTGTAAATTATTTTTGTCTGTCTATAAATATTGAGTAATGCTTAGTTAAATTGATTTGGTTTATATACCTTCTCCGGTTCGTTTCGCTTCGCTCTCTCCTCTTCGCTTTTTCCGCTACTTCTCTCTGATTGTCTGTCTTGACCAACGATTGTACAAAATAAAAGTATTCAAACTTAATTCTCGTATTTGACTTATTCACTAACACGATCTATGCCGATAATTTTATACATGGATTGACAATATGTAAATTTCCTTAATGATAATCACACGATCAAATTGGAGTCACATAATGAGCCACAAAAAGAGAAACGGTCACATCTGTGATTAAAATGACACTTATGCTACCAAATAATTGCAATTTGTATATTCCGAAATTCTACTAAACAAATTTTAATCACTGAACTATCCACAGTTTTCCACTTAGTTGTGATCGATCTGAGTTAATCAAGCAGTTGTGATTAAGAACAATAAGGCGATGAATTATAAAGACAAGTTTAATATTCATTCTAAATGAAAACTATACACAATATTTAATAGCTGAAATAAAAATGACGACTAGTAATGAGTTTGAGAGACTTGATTACCGACGGATTGGACAAATAATCTAGAACCAACGGTCCAAATACGGCTACCACAAAGGTTTTGTTTATAATTTAATTAGTCTCAAGTAATAAGAGAGTTTGTTAACCAATCACCTACACAAATGCTTCAATCGATATTTAATATATTCGTTTAAATGTACAATTAGTTGGGGAGCAGACCCAAAAAACAATGGCCCAAATCGACACAACAACCCCCTCACCGTGAAATAAAATACGGCGAGAGTCTAATTTAGCGACGACCTTTGAACGAATCTTAAATGACCTTGACAATTATTAGCCAATCAGAAGACAGTTAGTATAAAGTGAGAATATATTGTAAGTAATGAACTACAGTGGATATTCTTCTTTTACATGATTTAAAAACTTGTTAAGGTTTGATGAAGGTTCAGAGGCTCTCACTTCATGATGCATATTGTATAGAAACTCGTCTATAGGGTTAGTGGTTAGGGTTGTAGCCTGTCAATATACATCTCTTCTCTAAAATCCGATGTAAACCGATCGCATGTTAGCACCCTAACCTTAACCTAACACTAAACCCTAATCTAACCCTAACCTTAGCCCTAAACCCTAATCTAACCCTAAACCCTAACCTTAGCCCTAAACACTAATCTAACCCTAACCTTAACCTAACCCTAATCTAACCCTAACCTTAACCTAAACCTTAACCCTAATCTAACCCTAAACCCTAACCTTAGCCCTGAACCCTAATCTAACCCTAAGCTTAACCCCAAACCCTAACCCTATGGACGAGTTTCTATACAATATGCATTATGAATTCAGAACTTCTGAGCCTTTATCAAACCTCAACAAGTTTTTAACTCATGTAAAAGAAGAATATCCACTGTAATTCATTACTTTCTTGTAATATATTTTTACTTTATACTGTCTTCTGATTGGCTAATAATTGAAATTGCTCAAACGCTTCTGATTGTCTCGTCCATAAATTAGAGTCTCGCCTAAAATACATAAGATGAAAAGCAGCGATGTTCGATTGGCAATAACGTTTATAATAATGAAGCGTCTACAAATAAGGACAGAGACTTACTTTCATTACACTAGCATTTTGAAATGAAGTCGAATGTAGAAGACCACATAATTGTTGAGGCGAACGTCTACGCATCAAGTATATTCCAACAACATTATAAGTATAGCTAGAATAGTCATGAGTCCAAGTTAATTTAATATAGTTTGGAACAGTAGGGGAAACATGAAGCTAATAAATAAGAAAGTTTGGAAAAAAAATCCAAGTTAATCTTAAATTAATCCAAAATCAAAATACCATTCCCAGTTTCACAAAATAATTTTCATCAAGACGGTTCAACTACATGATAACTTCAAAAAATGCACAAGATAATCTCAAATTCGTTATGATCTGACTGGATAAATTTGAAGTCTATCGTTCAGATTATAACACGTTATAGCCTTAAATAAAAATGAAGTTAACCCTTCCTGAAGAGTTAAGCAAGCGTTATAAATGGATAAGTAAATGGAAATCGAAAAATTCTAAAACTATTCCCTCAGTGAAAAACTATATATATATATATATATATATATATATATATATATATATATTCAGATTAGGATCGAACCCAAAACCTTTAGGTGTCATGGTGAGTACGATAGCTTTAAAGTTATTCTGAGTTTAAAAGTTTCCAACTTCAATCAATTTCGAATATTGTGCGACCATTAGGTAATGTAATCACTAAACAGATTTTTTCAGTGCTCCTTGACTTTTGATAGTTCTCTAGTTCATGAATTTGTCTGTAACCAAAACTACCCTCCAGCTTTATGATTACAATTGAAGAATAACAACCATGAAACCAGCTTCAAAAGATTTCTTCATCAATTCTAAGTATTTTCCCAGCGAACAAACAAACTAAGGTTAGTTGTTTCTCTGTTATATACATATGAAAGATTTTATTCTATATCCGACAACTGAAATACACGATTATTAGAATATTTTCAAACGTAACGATCTCACACTTTGTTATTTATTTCACAACCCAAAGATAACAAAAGTATGTACGATCAGTACATCATAAAACTCCTTCCCCAAAAATATAGTTCATGATTTTATTGTCATTTAAGATTTTACAATAATAGACTAATCTACGAAAAAAATCCTAATGTCATATTAATCAATGGAAGCAAAAGAAATCGCTATTTAAATTACGGACAAATGTCTCAATTACAAATATAAACAAATATACTTACAGACTGAGTGATATTAATAGGTCTAGGGTTACGACGTCCATCCATTCCTGGACGATTACTTGGTAAAAGAGGTGGGAGTTGGATAGGCCGACCATTTACTTGAATTATCAAATGAACTGGTAAACTATCTTCAGCTAATGGTATTTGAATGAGTTTATCCAATGATAAACTAGATGACTTGCGACTACCATACAACTCATATGTCTGTACTAGATGTTGGCAGGCTTGAGGATCTAGACGAGCAAAACGCATAATAACTTGCACTCCGAATTCCATTCGTTCATCAGATCCACGCCAGCTAAAAAGCATTGACATCAATAAATCTACTTTTGATAATCTTAAAAATATTACATAATTTGCATTCTAGTGTAAATTGCATACAAGAAAAACAGATGAATTGTCTTACAAAACCATTCAATTAATTTATTGATTTTATCGTGAATAAATTAAGTGTAATATCAGTGGACCAAAATACTTTGTTTTTTAAATCCCAAAATTACAGATTTCTGTTGGTGATGCATCGAAATCTTTATTTATCGAGGAAAATAGGTAACGAAAAATTGACATGAGGAAATTCCAGGTACCTTAAGTTCGAGTTTGCCATAATGATTTGTCTCTGTATGAAGATAGTGTTAAGAAAATATCTCCTCATAATGGGAACTCAAATCTCCCTCCCTTAAGTCCTGTTCTCAGTGGGTGGTTTGTGATACCATGACGAAAACTTCTACAAATACCCATACGTTTTTTTATTACATCATCGTAGGGAGCAGCGGCAAATATACTTGTCTCCCAAAGGCTGGTGACTGGGAGTAAACTGAAACAAAGTTGAATCGACCACTTTATTGGTTCGCTCGATCAAGTTGAGTTGGAGCTGCTAAATATATAAAAGTTTCAGTCAAAAAACTATAGTTTGTTGCTAGTATCATGATAGGAAATACCCTGGTTACAAGTATAATTTACTCACTCGGCTTCGAGTAGCAACCTTACTGAGAGAGTACCCGGGAAAAAAACAAGTAGAATGGGACTCAGACGTGTGACTGAATTGCTCTAGGTTTAATTCCAAGCTACTATTCCCTGGTACAAGCAGTTACTAACCGCTAGATCGCAACATCTGTTACAGCCGCTTCAGCTAAGAAGTCTGGATAATACTTCTAGTTTAAAACAAAATCTATCTAAACTCAGAGAAGAAATGCTTTTAATTGGTGAACGCGGTGTATTTGCTAACAAATAACTAGTATTACCAGGATAGAGTTCTGACGATGACATGATAGGTGAATCAAATCAATGATGAAAACTGAGATGATTCTTTTTGCAAAACGGTAAGCTATTCCTAAAGACTATAATATCTTAGAAGCCATGTTAGTCAAGTTAGTTGCTTTTTAAATTACTCCCCTTTTCTTTAAACTGCAATGATCAACAGCCATGTGTAATCCTATAAGAAACATTTCAGATCCATAAACCCAAGTCACTTTTGCAGTTAATTTGGTCAAGAATTCACGATTATTATTCTAATAGAAGCAAACTAACAGATCTTGTCGCTTTCTCTCATCTCAGATTTGCCACCAATTTTCCAATTATAGTAAAACTTTAAAAGCCGATAAATATATCCTACTCATACAGTTTTGGAATGAAAAATAACCAAAACGTAGCCAGAAGTTAGTTAAAATGTTTCTTCTATGTTTTTTACATCAATTCCGAAAATTAATCAAGGTAATGTTTTTCTCAGAGACAATCCTAACGATCACTAACTTTGCATGCTACTCCTTAGCTAAATATCACCTGGTAACTGAATCGCTTCTGTAGCCACCATCTTCTGAGCATAGCTGTCCCTATACAAAGGTTTAAAATTAAAAGTGCATTTATAAATATCACAGGATTTGGTCGATTGTATTCTATATCATCTATCTTAATTTTACTCCAACATCCACCCAGATAAAATCAAGGAAATGAATGTACTCGATTCTACAATGCGTGGTTCACAAACAAAAATTCCGTGGCCAAGGGTGATAGTTTCGGTTAATGATGACTGATGTCAGACTTCACGTAAGGCTAAGAGCTAGGGTGTTGAGGGCGTCGACATAAAGTTACCAGTATGGTTTTAAGAAATAAGAAATGATGTTGGGTAATAACCGCGAATATACTAGAAAACTTTAGGTTTTCAACACAAAGATTCTTATGAAAGTTTTTCGGAAAAATGCAGAGCAAGCACAAGTAAATCTGTCATCCCACATAAGACTACACACAAGTAACCAAAACGACGAGAGAAATCATACTCACCAGTGATAAGTAATGGTTTCGACTTGGTCAGATGTGAACCTCAAGGCCAAAGAACGGTCATAAGATCGACGTCCAGTAGCAAAACCAATGTGGGCCGGGAGAATGATTTGCGGAGGTAAAAGAACATCGATCAGTTTGAAAAATGGAGACTCTTTGAAATTGAATTCAGGTAAAACAGCGGGAAGCCGAAACGATCCATCAACTACATTATTGCGTGTTACAAATTAAAAGTAAACTTGTCTTATCGAGAGGAATAAATGCGTTGTAATCATTATTATATGAAAAACATATTAACAGTAGGACCTGAAAGGCCTAGGAAGAAAACTCTAATAACTCATACTACATTCATTTTTAGGAAGTAACAGAAGCTGAAGGTAAATCCGGGCGAAACTATTTGGAACACGAATACAAGATAAACAGAACTGTTAAACATAAGAGGAATACGTCCATTTGCAATCCCAAAACATCCACTTCCGCAATATTCGTAGTGTCCCCCAATTTTGAAACTTTACTTATCAACAAACCATTTTCAGTTAAGAAACCACTCAAAACCATCCTAAATGCAAATGACAACTTTTACTAAATCTTTTTACAAGTGAATAAAGTATTTGTACTTTAATTGAGGAATGTTCGGTAAGAGGATAAATAACTGGGCTTTTAACTACCCAGTAGATCAGAACCTCATCCTAAATGTTTCTGTTTATTTATTTATTTGAACACATAAATATTGGTACAAGGGGGCACCAAATATATATGCGCCACACAGAGCAGTGAGAATGGGGAGAAAAAAAGGAGCGTAAAATAAAAAGGAATAATAATAACAACCAAATTGGTGTAAGGTAGTGTAATAATAATGTTACAGCAGGATCACCACTAGCTTCCATTCTGAGCCATATCTGATAACGTCTCTAGCCACTGTGTCACACCATCTCTAGGACCCCAGCCAGGGAGTCGTGAAGGACCAACGCAAGCCAGCCCTTTGCAGCTTTCTTACATACCCCGACACCATGTCATAGACTGACCACCTCTCCGCTTTTTCCAACTAGTCCCAGAGTCGGCAAATAATGCACGACGTGGAATTCTCTGGGACGACATTCGTAGAACATGTCCAAGCCACCGAAGTCGGTGTTTCAAGATGATGACACCAATTGCATTATCGTCTCTGTGCCCGAACACACAACGCTGAACCACTGCATTACTAACATGGTGTTGCCACTGGATGTCAGCAATCCTTCGGAGACAGCGATGATCAAACACAGAGAGTCTTCTGACATCCTCAACTCGGAGAGGCCAGATTTCATAAGCATAGAGCAAAACTGCTCTCACCGACGCGTTGTAGATCCAACCTTTCACAGCCAGACTAACATCACGAAGGCGCCAAAGGTGGCCCAGATTGGCATAAGCCGCTCTGGCTTTCACTATTCGTGCATTGATCCCATCACTCACACCCCCACCAGCACTTATGCAGCTACCTAGATACACGAACTTCTCAACTACGTCTATCTGCTCACCGTCCAGGGTGAGTACAGGATTAGAATCCTGCCAGTCTTGTAGAAGTACTTTGCACTTCGAAGATGCAAAGCACATACCATATCTACGGACACTGATTGCCAACTGATTAGGTGCGGATTCCATGACTTGAGCGTTATCGCACAGTAAGACAATATCATTCATATACTCAAGTTCGAGAAGTCTTTCTCCAGGCAACAGATCCACACCACCATTACTTACATCCATCAGAGCTGTTTCCAGAATGTCATCGATGGCAAAGTTGAAGAGGAATGGTGAGATTGGGCAACCCTGCCTAACCCCACTGCTCGAATGGAACAATGGAGGGAGGTGGTTGTATGCCCTCACTCTGCCTGAGGTGTTTGTATATAGGGCTTTTAGGATGTTAATAAACTTCTCAGGCACACCCTTCTTCAATAGACAATCCCAGAGAACAGCCCTGTCCAGCGAATCGAAGGCAGCCCTGATGTCAAGAAACACTACGATTGTTGGCCTTTGATTAGTATGGCGGTGTTCTAACATTTGGCGGAGGGTGAAGATATGATCAATACATCCTCGACCAGAACGAAACCCAGCCTGTTCCTCGCGAGTCAATCTTTCACGGGTTTTGAACAACCTACGAAGTATGACGGAAACCAATAGCTTGAACGCAATCGGAAGTAGACTTATCCCCCGATAGTTGTTACAGGAACGACGTGAACCCTTTTTAAAGATAGGGACAACTATCGACTCATTCCATGACGTTAGTACACTCTCTAGTTCCCAGACCTTTGTAAACAACACAGTCAGTTCCTTAGCCAGAAAGTCATCACCATCTTTAAAATGAGTAAGTCATCTGGGCCCGATGATTTGTAGCACTTCAAGAGTTGAAGTTCCTTACGGACTTCCACCTCATTTGGTGGATCAGTCGTCACCGGCCATGGAGGGCAGGACAGTCTGACCGATGTTGCCGGAGCAGCAGGCCAGTTGAACTGCCCTTCGAAGAAATCTGCCCATCGTCCAAAACGTCGATGGATGTTAGTGATTGGCATCCCATCATCCTCACAGATTGTTTCGCTCACACCAAACTTATTGCTGCCAGTGGCTCGGATGAGTTTGAAGAGCTTCCGGTAATTACCAGATGCAGCTGTTGCTTAGCGCTCATTAGCACGCTCCGACCACCAGGCTTCTCGGCCCTTACGCAAGCTTTGCTCAATTTCATTAAGTACCAGTCGTCGTTTGTAGTCAAACTCACGGTTACCCGGAGTAGACCAACGGGCTTCAATGAGTTGTAAGGAGCCTGAAGAAACCCAGTACTTATAAGCGGGACGTTTCGCGAAGTCGCAAGCGGCTTTGCTCGCTATTTTCATGGCGTCATGCAATTGCAACCAATGCTCATCTATACTTTTCGGTGGAATGGTAGCTAGGCTAGAAACTAGCTCGGTTCGATACTTGCAACAGAAGTTGCAACCAATTTGCTGACATCAATCCGTTGATGGTGGTCACTTCGTTGTCCACTGAAAAGTAAGGTAAGATTGGCGCAGACCAAGGCATGGTCAGAGTCCAGATAGGTACTCCAAAAGGAGCGGCAGTCTTGTACACAACCACGCCAGCGGTAGCTGATCGCGATGTGATCAATCTGAGTCCAGGGTTGAGATGCAGAGGGATGACGCTAGGTGGAACATCAGCGATGACTGTGCCGAAAGTTATTGCTAGCCAGAAACAAGTTGTGGTCTGTGCACAGTTGCAGTAGACAGTCCCCGTTATCTGTCTTGCGACCAACAATTCCCCATCGGCCACCTAGATTCTCTTCTGTACCTAAACGCCCGACCTGAGCATTCAAGTCTCCGGCTAGTACTACAATATCTGTCGAACGCACTTTCTGGAGAAGAACAGTTAACTGATGGTAGATTTCATCTTCGATTGCATCCGGGCTGCAATCTGTCGAGGCATAGGCGGAGATGACAAAAAAACATCGTTTCTCACGCCGATTTCTTCTCACTGATGGAACGTTCTAATCTAACAGCACATAACAGACTGTTAATGGGTATCTAATCGATTAGTGCTGCCTCAGCTCTAGCGCTTCGTGCGACACCAATGCCAGCAAGACCACACGAAGATGCCACAGGGTTCCTGAATAAACGCACGTAAAATAAGCTTTTTGAAGCGACAGATGAAGAGCGAATTTGTAGTACTTCACCAGTCTTGAATACGGATCTCGGATAGACAACAAACGTCGATATTAAGACTTTCCAAGGACATAACCAGCCCTATTTGTCTTCCGACCTGCATAAGTGTGCGAACGTTGAAGGCAGCCAGTTTGAATGGTGCACGTGATTTCAGAAAAACTGCTTCGGTATTCGTATTTGGTGGTAGCACGCAATTTTCAACCAGGCAGTGACTCGAGAACGTTTAGATAGAACCGAGTTTCCACCATAGGCGAGCTGCTGTATCAGTCGAAAAATAAGGATACATAAAATGGGAATAAAAAAAGAAAGTGAATGACGTAAATAATAATAATAATAATAATAATAATAATAATAATAATTAATAATAATAATAATGTGAATTGTTTGATTGTAAATCGAAGCGAGAACAGAATTTTCAGTAAATATCATCATTTTCATTTTATCTTTGTGTTGCTGTGGTACTGCCCGGGTGCCCAAATCGAGGCAGGTGGTCTTCTTAGGGGGCCACACCCCGAGACCCCTCGAGTGGTGGAAATAGCTAACTTAGCGAGTAATAGGTGACAGTCTTTATGAACACGAAAGTTATAAGTATGCAGACACATACATTCTAGCATATACATATCTATAAAGCAACCTAGATGTTACAAGAGAGTAATTAGAGAGGGAAAATATATGGGTTACAGGACAAATGGGAAAATCAGGATAATTTATCTGTTTAAGCACGTAGGTGAGTGGTAACAGAGATCCGCTACAAGTTCATACAGGCCCAAAACCTTATATTGACAAATTATTATACAACACACAGTAAGGTGCAGTTTAAGTTTTGGAGCAGTAACATGGTGGTTACGAAACTCAGCTTTCAACTAAAAGGTCACAGGTTTGAATACCATACCAATTATTTTGGTTTGGGCGACTGGCTAGTAACGTATTACTAGCCCTCACACATAAACTATGGATCAAAGTTGACTAAACAGAACCTCATATGACAAGTCTTTCAAAAATGAACGAACAAGAGAGATAAATACTTTAAACAGCGCAATTACTAAGCGTTTCTTGGATACAGGACATCAGGCCAATACCTTGAAATCTATCAAGGTGGTTAATAAACAGTCAAGCCCCAGACTTCTGAAGTTATCTGAAACCGTTGCTATAAGGCGTCCGGAACCTGATTTATGTGTTGAATAGATGATTGTTAGTCTTTCCTTCTATTGGTAGCAAATATTTCTTCATTGAGTCATAAAATTTTGTTCAACTCTTTCAATTAATCACATCACTACGCTTTTTTATTTTAACTGTCATTTAGATTATTAATCTTATTTTAATTAACTGAGCTTTACTCATTCTTACTTTTTATCAGCGTTTACTCACTACGTAACCACTTGTTTCCAGCCCTATGGACCTTTGTTACTACCGACGTTATAGAACTTTCCCTATATAAGGTATGTATTTACAATACTTTATTCCATCTATTAAATTTATTTACACCCTTGCTATATTACACTGATGTCTTTAAAGTAACTTCCAACTGCGCTCCTTCAAGTAATTGTAACCCATTTTGTAAATAAGTGGTCTTGGGTGCTGTTAGAGGTATGAGGGCGGTTATCACTTCCCGGTTGCCCACACCGTGGAAGGGTTCTTCTGGAGGTACCTGAAAAGGAAATTGGATTAGAGGCGGTCTCAGTGACCTGAGAGCGTGACCGCAGTGCCCAAGGGACAACTGCTTGAGGCCGGTCGCGCACGGCCTTTTCGTGGGAGGTTTTTGACGTGTTAGCTCCGTTCTTCAAAGGGCCTTACCGCCGGAGACTGAATTCCGTGAGTTAAGGTGAGGTGCGCATTTTTAGGGTCGACCTTTTCTAACCCCATCCCTCCCTGTGGGAAGGCAGCATCGCTGTCATGCTGGTTGTCTGAAGGAAACACCTTACTGCTGTCACACCTCTGTACAGTCAGCAGTACGACTTTGCCTTCGGACCTTGGGTTTGTTGCTTTTAGTCTTACCGCTCTTCAACCGACCTGTCTGACATGGTAGGACCTTGAGGAACGGTTGTTCCAGCCAGTATAGCTCGGTTGCTTCATCACGATAAACAAGCCCGACCACCACGTCAAGGTAGCAACAACGGTCACAAGTAAGCAGCTGACGAGAACCACACGAAATAAAATGAATTCATGTTATTCTGCTTAAATCTTTGTTATTGCTTTCTTCGGAAATGAATACTTTAGGTGACTATGAAATCTTTTTCTGGTTAGTCAATACTTGAGAACAGAATTCTTCCTAGCATATTACTTTATTGTGATTTCTTTAAATATATGTAATTGCATTTTGTCTGGTATATATACTTGACCTGAACTGTTTAAATAATTCCCCTACTAAAATAAACAATAAATACTAGGTTTCAAGGTACTTTAAATTCTCAAAGCACAGAAATAGACAATAAAACAAAATCCACAGATGACAATGAATAAACAGCAACAAAATTTGGTCTACATGCATGCGACGAAAAATGCCAATAAAAAATACTTCGACATTCTGTGTCTTACCTCCAGCCAATGTTATAAGTGGACCTATTTTGTGTGTGACAGCAGCTTTTCTTGAGTCTGTACTGAGTGTGTGGATTGAACTCTGAGGACATTCAGAGTGCACATGTATTTCTGAATGCCCATCTGACATAGCTGAATTGGATAGAATAGGGATAGGAAGGGCAACATTTGTTTGAGAATGGGGATTAAAATTTTGGGACTTCCCAGATGTGTAAGATTGAGATGTCGTTACTCGGTTTTCAGGTAACAACTTGTTAACAGACTCCCAAGATGACCAAACTGATGGGTTAATCACAGGATTCCCTGGAAACAGTGAACTTTGTGTGAGTTCATTGGATGAAACTGTTTGTTGAGATTTTTGTTGCCTGCTTCTCGTAGAATTTAATTCATCTGGAGATGATTGTTCAAAAACACTTGTATTCGGTTGTACAACGTAAGGGTTGTGACGCAACTGCTCTTTCTGTAATACACAGCTTGTTTTTGTACCTGTCACACATGGATTCGGTCCTGAACTATTATTTGACGATTCTGTAGAACAACGAATGGTAGGGTCTCTTAAATACACAAACGATGACGGAAGATCGTTTGACGGACAGTGGGGGTCGAAATTCCCATTTGACTGTTGAAACTGTAAGTCTGAAACACGAATTATATCACTTTTAATAACAATGATGACTTTGGAATACAGAAAAAAGTTAGATACAACAGAGCACATATGAAAATCAGCGACAAACTAATACAATCATTTTACTTCTTAAAAGACTCTTCAGAAGATAACAAGATATTTGATAGTGTGTAGGTTTAATTATTCTCAATCAAATGTTTAAAAACTCAGTTGTAAATTGAAGGTAATGCTGAGAGTTCATTTCACTCAATTTTTACAGGACAATCAAGTCAATTTGTAATCTATAATTCAAGCACAAAAATCCTAAATAAACATTCTAATTATGTGACCAAGTACATGCTAATGTACTCGACCCTAACCCAGAACAACTAACTATCATTTAACGGTGCTGTCATAAACTAAACTTTTCTCAAATTTCGTCACTGTGTACCGGTGTCGCCAAATAACATGATGTAGGAAAACTGCTTGAACGATATGAGGAAAATCAAACCAAGAAAACAAATACAGTGTTCTAAGATGGGAGTACTCGCTAAATTCACATCTCTACCAAGCCCAAATACCCGCTAATGAACCTTAGCATTATTCAAAATGTGTTGCCATTAAACGCATGCCATCCCTGAAACTAAAGAACATCCTTAGCTCGAAGATTAGTTTTGATAGATGTAGGCTGCGAATGTAGGTAAAGACAAATTGTGCACCTGACCTTTATAGCTGGACTAACATTGTAACAATGGTAGATGTAGTACAAATTATGGAACTTCACTCTCATCATCTATTTCATCTTATACTACCACTAGGAATCATAAAACTACTTTGATGCACAAGATTCTGACTATCTCCAGTGGCGTATCAGTAGAATTTAGTAGATGTACGATATTTTCAGTACATAATTATGGTTTGTAAGCATTACTATGTAAATCAATCTATTTATACAACATAAGAAACTATATTAATGGAATCGGATCGATACTAAGCTTGGGACTAGCTACATGAAAGTTCTCAGTTCAAATTTACAGTTGAAACAAATTCGCAAAGATTATAAGATTAAAAAAGAATGCAAGCACCCAGAATCAACTGATTGTGTTACATTAAATAGTCTCATAAGAACAAAAACACTGAAAATGCGGGAGAAAACGTACTGACAGGACTATACATCAGTCCCCTCAGTTCATGAAGGGCAGAAAGAAATTCTGTGGAAGGATCCTGGTCCAGGTAGGAAATAAGTCTCAATTGAATATCCTGCTTTAGACCTCCACGAGGAAGATTGGTTAACTTTATAAGTTTATCAAGATCTGCCCGTCGACAGCGTTGGATGAAAGCCTAAAACATCTTTATGCGAGTAACGATATATACCTTAAGCTCTAAGAGGTCACGAGTTTGACGCATGGAAGATTTCCCTTTGCCGAGCTTAAGCTTTTCTGCAGGAATAAATTATCTAAGTAGTCCAGTGAAAGCAAAGCACTTATCAACACCGGTTAATGGACAGTACCGATATTTTTTATTCACGCGCTTATCCAATAGACAATATCTCACATGCCTTCATTGAAGTTGTTTATTGATGTATTCGTGTCCATTCAGGCTGACGGCGAGCATGATAGGCTATGATATGTAGATACTGATACAAACCTTCCAAAATATTTTTCAAAAGGAGGACGCGCGCTATTTAAAAAGGACAGTGTTACTTTTCCTCGCTGAGTAAATTTCATTGTTTTGATCGTTTATTACGTATCAAGACTACTGTTTTCCACTTTAATTGAATTTATTTCAGTTAAAGTATTCGACTAAAGTATCGTTTTTACTGTTTTGTCGTTGGTACTCTTCAGTACCTCTTTTTCAACTGTATCTGTTAGTACTTTTGGTCCTAGCAATCTACAGCTCTTCACTTTTTTTGGTCATTGATAATTTTTTGTTTCTAGGTATCATCGCATATTGAAAAAACCCCTCCTAAATGACCGGACAGTGTAAAAAAAGCAGTTGCCAACGTCCGGGTTGTCGTTATCCTGTTGAAAGCGGGATGCAGTGCGACGAGTGCAAAGGCTGGTACCACGAAGTTTGCACGAACTTAACGCCTGCTGCTTTCAAACGGTTCAGTAAGAAGGGTTGTGTGTGGCTTTGTCAACAGTGCTGCTCGGATGCAAACAGCTTGTTAACCGAGGCCATCTGACTGGTTGATGCTGCAAAGAAGTGTTTTAACAAGCATAGTCGGAACGCGTCAAACAGCACTCGATCTGTTGACACGCAAATCAATGTGAAGGAAACTAAGGTGAGTCCGGTGATAGATGACTCACGCCCGTCAAAGAAGGAAAAGCAGTCTCCAAAAGGGCCTGCCTTAAAAAAAAGCTCAAGAAAAGTAGGGTCTTCTGTTCCCCGTCTCCCAGATGGGATCCAACAGGAAACACCTAGGAGCCGCAATCGCAAGGCTCGATCGGTTTCAAATGGCAAACATAACACGACCCCTCAGGTCGTCGACAACCCCCCAAAACCCAACACTAGGTTTGACGCAACTGTTATTGCTTCTACCAGCACCGTTGACGAATGGGTAAAGGTTGTAAGGAAGAAAAGTATTGATATAAAAGGGAAACCTGCCCCCGTAAAAGTGGTTGAAAATCGAAAGCTGATCATAGCGACAGATCAGCTATTTTTCATAGAATCAAGGAGAGCGATAGCTCTGAACCTAAAGCTCGTTTTGAGCATGACATTGTACTGATTAGGCAGCTGCTTAATCAACTCATGCCTCAAAATATGACTGGGGTCACCTTGCTAAAGGTGTATAGACTAGGGAGTCTAACGGACTCGAAACCAAATCATTCCAGACTGCTTAAAGTAGTATTCGGCTCTTCAAACGAACGTGACCTAATTTTACAAAATGGACACAAATTAAAGGGTTCAGGAGTCTTTATCCGAAAGGACCTACCGTTGGCAGACCGTGTTAAAAGACGGGAAGCCGAGAAAGAACTACAACATAGGTCAGACGCTGGCGAAAAGGACCTGAAAATTGTAAATTTTCGGGTTGTAAGACTTCGACAGAGAATGATGCCGAAGCCACTCTGGGTGAAGCACGAAGGCACTTAAATAGGCTTCGGATCTGTTACACCAATGCACGAAGCTTACTTAATAAGCGATCGGAACTAGGTGTACAGATTGACTCTACAAAGCCAGATATAATCGCAGTAACAGAAACCTGGCTGACATAGGCTATAGATAGTATAGAACTTGATTTCGAGGGCTTTACGTTAGTAAGGGCCGACAGAACACAAAAGCGCAAAGGAGGGGGAGTAGCCCTATCCATTAGGAATGCTATCCCATTTACCATTATCGATAGTGTATCCCATGAGAGTGGGACGTGTGAATTAGTCTTCGCTTAAAATGCAAGGGACAAGAGCTGCTGATTGGTTTGGTCTATCGCAGTCCAAGCTGTGAGGCAAATGAGATCCTGTTAAGCAGTCTCAATACTTGGTCCCAAAGTGGTCGATGTCTAATCCTAGGGGACTTTAATGCACCTATGGTAGACTGGGAAAATCTGCGAACTAAATCGTCAGAAAATTCTTTCGAGCAGGAAGTAGTTGATGGGGTTATCACATGTGCTCTAGTGCAACATGTGAAAGAAGCGACAAGGTACGATCCGGACACTGAATCATCCTTATTAGATCTTATACTGACTCACTATGAGGATGATGTTGCGAACCTCCACCATATGCCACCCTTAGGTAAAAGTGACCACGCAGTTTTAACTTTTGACTTCCATATAACTGCCAGTCATGAGGACGCGTCAGTCCAGTCCAGACCCAACGTCTGGAAAGCAAACATACCAGACATCATGCACTCAGCATCGTTAATAGATTGGACAATAGACACAGAGTCCTCCATTGAAACGGCCTGGGACGCATTTCGAAAATCATACTTAAAAGTTACCACACCTCACATCCCTTGGACTGTACCAAAGGGGCCGAAAAACTCACCACCATGGTTCAGTAGGGAGGTCCGTATCCTTCTCCGTAAGAAAAGGAAAACGTGGGATAGATTTAGGTTACTGGGGACTGATGAGTCAAAATCTCAGTATCGAAAGGCTCGGAACACTTGTGCCTCGACCCTCCGTAAGTCTAGAAAATTGTACGAAGGAAAACTTGTTAAGGAATCCATAGAATGTCCTAAACGCTTGTATTCCTATATAAACCAAAGGACAAGGAGAAAAGGAAATATTCCTGCTCTATGGGGAGACAGTACTGCTTCATCATTAGTGAAGGACGACTTTGGTAAGGCTCAAGCGTTCTCGAACTACTTTAGCAACGTGTATACCATAGAAGCGCCCTTCTCGTCAGCGTATACAGATCCCCATACATACACTGGATAGCGTGACCATTAAAGAACTCGATGTCTTTGGTCTGCTAAATAAGCTTGACATAGGTAAATCCACGGGGCCCGATGAATTACATCCTAGGCTACTGAAGGAATTATCTAACTTCGTTGCGAACCCTTTAAGTACATGCTTTAACCTATCCGTTACGCAGGGTCGCTTACCGAAAGATTGGAAAAACGCCATAGTAAGTCCTGTCTTCAAAATAGGCACGAAACACAAACCTGAGAACTTGTAGAATTATAGTCTACTATGATATTAGTACTGCTCTAATAATAGACCTAATCCTAAATTTGTAGATTCGTCATGATATAACTGCCTAATCTATAAGATCTTACGTGGAAGTCACACCATCGACTACGCCAACTCACTGTATCGTATCAATTACCAATACATGATGAAGAAGAAGGTTAGTTTAGAGAAGGAACAATATATTTAATATGAATAGAGACCACGCCTGCATGGCCGAGCCATGCCACTCGATCAACTCCAGTCCATTCAATTCATTCTCCGCGCCTTCTCCATTGTTAGGTATTTCCCCGAGTTAAATATTGAATATCTATTTTCTGAGTAGTCTTGTGTTCACAGCTTTGTGGATTGTGTGGCTATTGTCCAATGCCACTACACTACTCTCCCACCAGAATCAACGTGATGTTGGTTCGATACCAAATTGGATGGGATCGTCGCGCGCCGGAGGTTACCAAGGATAATAAAGATCCTCCGGGTATTGATAAGCTGAAAGATAAATCAAAAAGAAGGCGGCAGAATCTGGTCGGGAAATACATGTAATAATCTTAAAATATCTGCTTTCATGATTAACACGCTTAAAATGAAAATTTGGTTGAAGATTATTTGAACTATAAAAAATGGGATTACAATAATAATAATAATAAAACGATGCGTGTTAATAAATTAACTTATAGGCAGTAATTATTTTGTGTTTAGAAATATTAAAATAATGAATATTGTAGAAATGTTAATATTGGTATTAGTTTGGGTTTAAATCATGAAATCGGATAACGATTATGCCGGTAAGTTGTCCATAAGAGTTGATTTCCAATTGCATCTGTATCAGTAGGCTAACTGAAGGAACAAAAGTATTACCATGGTAAAGAATTCCAACTAGTGTTCCAGTTAGTTTGATACGGTTTATTTAGTTACGGGGAGATTTTCTCAACCTCATTTTTGCTTGACCGTGATAGAATTTGGTAATACTACTAATACACATGAATGGTTATCAAAATAAAATTTAAATACGTGAGTGATGATTATATGAATTTTGGACAGATAGCTAGGAACAAATCGTTAAACATGAGCGTATTCGTAAGAGACATGCTCTAGACTCAATGTTCTGATCTGTGGCAGACTATTTACTTGTATTTATACTTGCCGGCTGATTGGACATACAAGTTAGTTGCAAGTATGCAGTTTATCATAAGGCGGAACACGATTTAATTGAGATATAGTGGTTATAAGTTATTAAAATCAGTTAGACCTGTGTCATATTACGAAGTGATGTGAAGCTGCAAGATGTATTTAGCTAAATAAGTTTTTACAAGATGATTAATAGTGAGTGATGCTCATGTGATTATCAGGGAGAACATAAGTTGTAACCAATGGGAGTACACTCCCAACTCATGTCTATGATAATGGCTTGAACCTTAGTCAGTGTTGGGGTAAATTCGACATTGATGTTTTCAGTTTGCAGGAGATTTGCTCGACTGCTTATACTGATTATTTGCATGCATGATTGTGTCGTTAAACCATCAATTAGACTGACAAGGTTTTGAGATATTTACTG